GACAAGCGCTGACTTCCAAATGATATATTATGGACATGAAGGCTGCACAGGAAAAGAAAACGTAAGAGCAGTGACGGCAACAGAGAGTGCACCACAGCGGAAAGGCGGGAAAAGTTGGCGGTCATTCCGTGTTTGCACTCTGTGTCACAACGCCCAAAGAAAATAGAACAACGCCTCAACGTGAAAGTGGTTTTCAGAGCTCCTGACAAGTTCTTCCGGTTGACGTAGAGGATCTGCCCCGTAAAGAGGCAAGGAAAGTGGTGTGTGGTCAAGCACGGGACGCAATTTGTTGACTGTGCGCAAGATTGATTGATTGATATGTAGAGTTTAACGTCCCAAAACCACCATATCATTATGAGAGACGCCGTAGCGGAGGGCTCCAGAAATTTCGACCACCTGGGGTTCTTTATCGTGCACCCAAATCTGAGCACACGGGCCTACAACATTTCCGCCCCCATCGGAAACCTGTGGGTCAGCAGCCGAGTACCTTAGCCACTAGAACACTGCGGCGGGCAACTGTGCACAAGGCGTGGTGTACAGGATTACCTTGTCTTGCGAGGCATGTTATTTGGGCCAGATGGGCAGATGGGGAACGCGCCAATAACGTTCGTAATGACAAACATGGCTTCCTGGCGCCACACGTGAGCACGTGTGGATGCACTCCGCAGTTCGAAAGGACCACAGTTCTCGATAGGACGAGCGTATAAATTACGAGGCTGCTCAGATGGCGCTTGAAAGGAGCGCGTGCGTAAGCAAGCCATCAGTTGCTCTGTCAGGAAGAGAGCTTCGTTTTCTGGGGTGCCAGGGTCGGCGTAGCGAGCTCAGTGATTGTTGATGTTATTTCGTATCTTTGGATCTGTCATAGTTTGTCAACTGTTTCTTTCTGCTCACTTGGGTATATATACTAGCCTTCTTGTCAATAAAATTTCAGTTGGAAGTCAGTGCTTGTCCCGTCTTTGTCCTGTCCGCCGTGTGTTATTCTCGTGCTGTTAACCTTAAATGTAGTCTCCTGTCTGACTGTGCATCCACTGCGCGTGACATTAATCGTTGCTGCTATTTTGAGGAAGGCATTTCTTAAAAGAACATGTGCGTTCTGCTGTAAATGTTCATGCAAGAATACCTCCTTTAATTACAGGGGCTTATATTCAAGGCTGTAACAGGAACACTTTACCTGGCGTTTTCAATATTTTTGCCCTTTTTGAACCTTTCGTCGGGTATTTGAAATGCACACGTCGAGTTTTCAAATCGGAATCGGTGCTTGGCCATTTGCAAGATTGACTGAAGCCTTTGGCATAGCCAGAAATGCTTTTCGAAGGGGTACAACCGGACTTTATGTATGTTGGGGCGTGCGTTTGTATGCGTTTGTGTATATAAAGAAAGGGGAAGGGGGGCTCGATGACTATTCTAGAAAGAAGGCGCATGGAGTAGACGTCGAAGACTTATAGACATATACACATGATAAATTCAAGAATTTAAGGGTTAGAGAGAAGATAAACACCTTTCTAGGCAGAGGGGTTGGGGTAGGGGGCTCAAAAGTTTTCAGGTCACAATCCCATGCATTCCTATGGAAGTGTGGCCTGTGAACTTTTGACCAGGACTGCACGTTCGTACCTAAAACTGCCATTTCGAGCACTGCAGACTAGCAATTCACTGAGAACAGTATTACCTCATTTGTTTTACTCTGCGTTTTTCCTCATAAATTCTGGTCTCTCTGCAGTCATCCTCCGTCTATGACTCACGCCATCTCAAGACCCGCATTCAGACAGAGAGACATCGATGTTTTACTACAACAGCGATCTCCGCGTCCACTTCGCAAGACTTCTGCTTTGTCAGTCCCGTTGTTCGCGCGTGTTATGGGTCAGCAGCCGAGCTCGCATGTGCGTCACCACTAACCTGATCATACACATTTACATGTGACAAATTGATGAAGTAAGGTACGCTCCGTGCAGTAGGGTTATTTTCTGCAACGACTTCCTTTCACCTTCTTGCGGAGTGAGGGGCACAATGCGAGCACGGTTTGGCTCCGGGGCATCCTTCTTCAACGAAAAAAAGAATGAATAAACCGCGCTTCGTCTTCGTGCTAACGGATCGTCGGCTGGTTCACATTTCCCCGGCAACCTCGCGTTCCACATCGGCGCGACCTTGAACGGAATTGCTCCTGTGACGCGCCAACCTGCGCCCTGGTCAGTTCTCTCGCCGAAGACGTGCTGCCCATGGCGATTTGCAGCAGTGTCCTTTCAGTTTGTTATGTGTACTTCATTTTCTTTCTCGGCGATGGCAGACATGCAGGGATTTTCGCACCGTCGTTTCGGGCAGCCTGGAAACGTGCCACGTTCCCGAGTCCCGCGCACCGTTTTTACACCATTCGCGTTCGCGATGGTCTAAGCCGGATCGAATCCTGCCAGCCGGCCAGTGCGGAATGTCACCCTGCCGGAGATCGACCCTCGCTGCCAAGCTTACTGCACTCTTTCACGCGTTCTTACTTTCTTCTTTTTTATTTCTTTTTTTTTTAAATTTGACCTCTTGTTCTTCGTTGCTATTTCAGGAATGATTGTTTCGTGGCCTTCTTTACGAGATGTGAGAAAATCACCCCTGCCACGAGCGCTATTATTAGTCGATCGCTATTGAAAATTTGTTGCTTCGGTGCGTTGCCCGAGCACTTGTTCACGCTTCTCATTGTGAAGTGACGCCTGAATTTGATGAACGCCTCTCAGGTTATGCGTCACCGGACCACTTCCTGCTACATCGGCCGACGTGTTGTTCTCCGAATTCTCGGAGCTCGTCCTCAAAAAAGACTGGTCCGATAATTCTGTGAGAAACAGGCATGATAAGCTGTTTGATGGGTCAGTACACTTCTAAGACTTGTCTCTTGTTGACCCCCCTTTTTCCCGTTATTTTCTCTTCTGTATTTCTTGATTATTGCAAACTCTGCCGTTGTGCAGTCATCGCGCATTCTTCGTGCAGGTCGCCGCTTTATCGAACTTTTTTGTGGAATGTGGCGCCGCGCAACACGCATTCGTGTATGAGCATCAACTATAGACGAGTTTACGTTAGGCATATCAGCGCCGCCACCTTGGGCCGTTAATTAAATGATTTCTTATTTTTACATATGGCGAAGGGAATCGATAGGGTAATGACACCTCTAACTCACCAGCCAAACCGTTTTCTCGCGTATACGTCAACCGCTGCACTGCACGTTTAGGTCTTAAGGGTACGAAACGGCAAAGTTCAAATCACAACATTGCGGCACCAGAAGCCACCCGGAAAATAGTCTATACGCTCAACCTTTTGTTCATAGGTGTCATAGCCCCGCCGCGGTGGTCTAGTGGCTAAGGTACTCGGCTTCTGACCCGCAGGCCGCGGGATCGAATCCCGGCTGCGGCGGCTGCATTTCCGACGGAGGCGGAAACGTTGTGGGCCCGTGTGCTCAAATTTGGGTGCACGTTAAAGATCTCCAGGTGATCGAAATTTCTGGAGCCCTCCACTACGGCGTCTCTCATTATCATATGGTGGTTTTGGGACGTTAAGCCCCACATATCAATCAATGATAGGTGTCATAGAAGTATTAGAACTTTAGTTACCGTTGTACTCGTTATAATATGAGCCAAAGGGTATTTGAACAACTACATAACCACAAATGTTTGCTTTATACACGTTGGTTCCCGGAAACGTACCCGTTATTGAAAGTTTTTAGGCCACTTGGTGAGCGATTTTATTTGTCAGTGGTTCCTGGTACAGCTAAGAGGGCTTTGGCATTGAACGCCGGGAGGAGAGAAGAACCACGATTATGGGACTTTTGACGTTTTAAAGAATTGAATAATATACAGGGGCACTACTACACAGTATTACCACAATCGCTATACAACAATCGTTGACGAGAATGAAAAGAAGAAAGGAAGAAAAAGTGAGAAAGCGTACGTGTGTTTTGTTTGCTACCCAGCTCTTAGGGAAGGAATAAAGGAATGAAACAAAGAAAGAAGAGTTAAACAAGCGTGCCTGTCTAACACAGCACACAACTAATCACTAAGGCTTTTAGATAGCAACGCCAGCGTCAATTTGTTGGTCTGTGATGCGTATAGCGCCATGGTCCGAGGACCTTCTCCTGCGAATACGGTTTTGGATTCACTTGTTTTTTTATGGTTTAAAATATGTCGTGGGAGATTGTTCATAATTGAGAGACCTTAAAGATTTGCTTGAATAATAGTTCGGATGGGTTGCTCGAGCAATAGAGAAGAAAAATTTTCGCGACGGCATTTCCTTCTCTTGACAGAGTAATCGCTGGCTTGGCAAGTAGGCGGTGGTCTGTGGTCTTATTCGAATTTCTAAGAGCGACTTGTAACTTCGAGTTGTAAGTTTTGCGCGTTTCTATCGTTAGGGCCCGTCTTGATATGTCTCTTCATTGCTTCTCTGTAAACGTAACACAATGTTTCAGGCCCTGGGCAAGCGATGCCGAGTCACGCGCCGCATCAACAAACCTGCACGACATGTCTTCCGACCGAAAACTTCCCTTCATCTCTCCGCTCATCCGTCCGGGCATAGTGGTACGCGCACAATTTATGCATCGCGGAAGCAGCGGCGTTTAAAAGATTACGCCAGGCTTCTTTCTCTGTGATTCTCCTGTCACGCCTCGGTACCCGCTACAACACTCCCATGCCGAAGAAGGTCGACTTGCGTGAGAGATCAAGTGTTTGGCTCCGATTCTGGCACTTTCGAAACGAGGGTCACCAGCAACTAAAGCGACGCCCTCCACCTCATGCCACATATTTACCCGCAGATCTTCGTGTCGCGTGTTTTTTTTTTTTTTTTTTTTGCAGATGTCCCGGAAGTGATGAGTCGTACACGGAGCGTGACCACTAAAGTAGACGGGTCTCACTCATCATGCCCAACTTGCGCCTATACTTTCACCCATGCCCTTATCCTTCACCTCCCATGATTCGTCCGTGGCATACGCAATCGCTGTTTTGCAAACTCGTGCATTCAGCGCTGGAATGTGTATAAAACGGCGAGCGCCCGGTGAGGAGACATCACTAGTTGCGGAGCTTGTCAGCGGTGTTTGTCCGAATCGTCATCGGAAACGAGCGCGATGTTCAAGGTAAGGCTTCAAGTCGTGCGCGCCGCGGGTTCAGCACTCGTGTCGCACGCATCGGCATCGTACACTTGTCGCCCAGCTGTGTATGTGAACGTGGGAGTGCGTTTTGCAACCGCCCCATCGTCCTGTCGTCCAGCGCTGCACGGCCTATAGCCGCTTGACACGACCGTCGTCGTTGTATCATCTTCGCTATACGTACAGGTGTCGTGTGGCCTCCGGGTGTGCACACAAGGAGCGCTGCTGACGCTACGATTGCCTCAGACACCGCGGACAGGCTATAGGATACGAAAATCGAGAATGTTGCAGTTGGTTTGGGCGTGACAGCTCATCCTTGCCGGGAAGGCATTGAGCGAACAGGCGCGTGTGCTGTTTTGTTAAAGGTTAATGACGACCACTTGCAGCGTTCTAGTAGATATGTGGCTCTACTAGTGACCCGGAGGCCGCTGGATTGAATCCTGGCCGTGGCAGCCGCATTTTGATGGAGGGAAGATGCTAGAGGGCTGCGGGCTTATATAGATGTGGGTGTATGAAACTTCCAGAGCCTTCTACTACAGAGTCTCTCATAATTTTATCGAGGTTTTGGGACGTAATACTCCAAAACTTATTATTAAAGCGTGGGAGTGGTCGCTTTCGCAGTGAAGTTGTGAAATCTGCTATGAATGCACTACAAACGACATTATAATCAGAAAAGTTTGATACTTGCATTGATGTTTCAAACAAACAATGTTCATAATGCGTCTCTGCAGACCTCGTCTGCAGCTGTTACATCAGTATCGAGGCAAACATACGTTAGAGATCTTTCGTAGTGTGCCGTGATGAATGACGAAGGAATATAAAGAATGTGGACTATTGGAATGCTGGGGTCGCTGCATGCCTACTGCTAATGAAGACACGGAAAAGCAAAGCGCGGGAGTGGGATCCAATAAGAGCAGGTAATTAACGCACATGAAGAGTGACACTCTGCATGCATAAAACGTAACCTTTCAGTAGAGTAACTTCTAGCTTTGACAAACCGTATGAGCTTTCTTTTTTTTAAGAAGAAAGACAGCTGGTGTTCCTTCCAAAACATTGATTACCGAGGCAGAACATCTGTCAGTCCGTCTTGACTGTCAGACCGGTTTCGAGAGACTGAAGCTTAACATCGAAGCATGAAGTTTGCATAGGAACGCAGAAACAGTCCTGTTACATTCATATTGAGTACGCATGGTCAAGCCAGCATCTTTGCTGCCGTATGACAACGAATTTTGTAGATAGCTTCGATCCATTGGTGCGGTGAATCACTAATTGAGAATCGCTGAACCAGTGGCTGCATGGGTGTTATAATGAGACGATAATGTTTGCTGAGTCCACGCCATTTAAACAGTACTGTCGTTTTTTATTGATATTATGTTTTGAGCAGTCAGATCAGTCTCTTCCAATATTCACTTTTGATGGTCGCGAGGATTCTCTCGCATGCGAGGACAGACAGATAGTGCATCATGTAGTAATGAAAGGTAGGAGTGGGGACCTAGTTTGTCAACTCAGCCACAGATATAGGCGATAAATTATAATCCAAGCGTTAACTTTAGTGCATCTTGGCAGTATGCTGGCATTGTATTATTAGTTTGAAGTCGTTTTGGAACGTCGTGTATCAATCAGTTCCTCTCGAGAAAGCAACGGAGGATGCACAGCTATATAGTAAAACGGTAAGCTCTACTGAGAGACCGGTGCTCCACATAAAACATATTTTTATTGTTACGCGTCAGCGGCCATAGGGGGCAGATATCACCTCTGTGAAGATCTTAATGTACGTAAAAGCACTTTCATATTCGTCTTGGCTAGTGCCACCCGAAGAATAGATACACGGTAAGAATTTCGGGCTTAGCAATGACGAAAGAAGTTTCAAAAAGCAGTTGGCTTTGATAACATAACCACTTGATCTGTGATTCGCTAAGAAATGGCCTTTGACAATACAACTATGTGAGCTATGACATGCAGTGAAGTTTCTCACTTGGTAAATCCCTGCAAATCACGCAAAGTCAGTGGCGGTGCACTTAAAGCTAACTCTACGGTTGCCTGCAAAACTGTAGGTGTAGTTACCTTGATAATAAGAATTGTTGAGGTGTTACTTCCCAAACTGATATGATAACGAGAGAGGCTAGTGGAGGGCTCCGAAGTTTCGACCCTCTGGTGTTTTAGGGGCTTGTTCGTTGGCGGCGTTGGTGTGTGCCGTAGCTTAGTGTTACTATATATGCTACTTTTAGGTAGCAGAGTGGCGCCAAGGTACGCCATTTTAGGTTCAAATGCCTTGCGGAAAAGCCACTCACCACCCGCGTAGGAGCAACGCTCGCGCTTCAGAGGGCTACATAGTCTCTCAATATTGAGGGATTATGGTACTAGCTGCTTTATTTATTTTTTCGCTTGCTGTAATTTTTTTTAATTATGAGTGAAACTCGGTAGCTCCGGTTACACCTAGAAGCATTGATTTGATGCCTACGTTCTTGGTATATAATAATAAAACAAAGTGCGTAGCTCGTTGAACCAGTAAGATACATATTTATGGTTGGTTACACTAGCTTTGCCTTTTCCGCTGTTTTTCCCATTTACAAATATGAAATTATTTTTGTACTTTTGAACGCAATCCAACCAGTTAGGGATAAAATTTTTTCATCATGTTGGACTTATTCGTTAACTGTGTGAGGGAGCCAGGTGTAGTTGTATCGCCTTCAACTGAATCGATCTGAACAGCGATATAGAGTGCGCATGCGATGCCCATATTACGTGCGGCTCTCTATTGCGCTCGTATTACAATCACGGCTCACGACAGCCGATGTGAAAAAATAGCCGATGTCAACCACGCTTTATCTGCCCGGAGTCATCGTAGCGTTGGCTTCTCCGCAGTGCATTTGAACCACTTATGACCACGTGATGGTTCTCGGCGAATAGGGGTGCTGAACTCCTGTAGGCGGAGCGAGCGGCGCCCGGAAAACAGTGTCGCAACTCTGCCACCTAAAGGTAGCATATACAGTAACTCTACCGTAGCGGGATGACGATGAATGACAATGACTGGCTCTCTTCCTGGATCTCTTGTACTTCTTTGGTCTCAAGCACGCCGTGCTGGGCTTTTTGAGAAGCTCCTGTTTCCATACATCGGTCCATATCGTGTATGCCGTCAAGTGACCGACTTGACGTATTTAATCGAACCATCATCTTCGTCCTTGTCGACTCGTCCCCGCACCGACATCGTGCGCGTTGTCCTTCGCAAGCCCTGTCGTACACCGAACCTTACCGACGCAAATGTGTAGTCGCCCTTCTCACTACCGTCTTAGTTCGGTCGCACTGAGTCGGAAAGTAATGTTATGTGCTCCTTATACCAGAGAACGAAGATGAGGTGGGCGGATGGGTCTCTTGTTCGCCCCATCTTGGCTGTTGTTGCCCCAATCACTGATAGTGTAAATAATGTAAATGTATGCGTCTTCTGTCGTCTCCCTGTAACAATATCATCTGTGAAGATGAATAGATGTGGAACTATACCAAAATGCTAATCTCCTAAACACCATATAATACAAGAATTTTCACAGTTTACAGTTTGTGAAGTCAATTCGTAGCCCCACATGGGACTAAACATTCTGTTCAAAGGAGTGTGAAGATTCTAACCTTCCTTATTCTCACCCCGTTGGTGCGGGACTATCTCTGGTCGCAGGCGTCTCTCTTCGTGCTTTGCGCTATCGTCGCAAGGGCAAGCAGCGCGGGAGACATCTATGTGGATGAGACGCAAGATAGACCGTCTCGGGTCAGGGTGAGCACCTATTTTACTACTCTTTGCGTTCTCTGTGAAAGCACCGCTTTTATCAGACAGCAAGTCTGCAAAGAGCCTATACACCTTCTAACGTGACTTTTGCTGACTTGTATTGAACTATAGGATTTAGCGTATCGTGAAACAACAACCTTAAACATATATGTAGTTCTAGATTAACGCAAACCAGATACTTTCTTATCTTTATCTTTCTTATTTTAGCTTTCTCGCTCTCTCTTCGGATTAGCGATGAAATGTCGCATTTATCGACATTGCTGAAAAAACAAAATAAAACAAAAACAACCCAAATCATGGCTCCTTATGCCAAAGAACGCCCTAGTACTCAAACGTACGTTAGAGAACACTAGCTGGTCTAAGGTAGCATGGATCACCCACTGCTGTTCTTGTGATAATATCTTGGTTCGGCAAATAAAACCTCGGAATACAGTAAAAATTTATTTCATGAAAATCTTCATTTCGCGGATTTTGCGGCTGTCTCGCTTTTCGGCACTCGATCATAATATAATTGTGTTCTCCTATGGTAATTCCTTCGTCATTATCAATTCGGGAGGGGTAGTGGCGCCTCTTGAGTTTTGTTGCAATTAACATCGCAACAGATACTTTTTTGTTCTTGGAGCAACCGTTACATAGCCCTCGAATAAAGTTTCTGCGTTATTATTATAACGGTTATTGTTGTTATTTGTATTCTTTTATAAAGGGTTACTGGAACGAAATATTCAGGTGTTCGTCCTGAAGAGCCCGAAAATTGTACTGGTAATCATGAGTGCACCCTGAAAGATTCCTTAAACGATTTTCGAAGCTATTTTTGGTTTCTCCTGCACCCTTAACGTCATGACACGGCATGATTATCTCGCCACGTGCTTGGAGAAGGTATCGTGACGTTTCCACGATCGCTCCGCTCTATGGATCTGCTCGTGACGTAAAAAACAACCATTTTGTATGTTGTCGTACTTTACGTCGTCACAATTAGCCGTATTGTTGCGTGACATCAGTCACCAGAATCGACATTGTGTCCGACGTCGCGCTGGTGTCGATGTCATAAGGCGTGCCATCGGGAAATTGACTTCAGTGTCAAAATTCTATGTCTTATCATATGCGGATCTTCATGGCTGCTCTGTGGTCTTTGTATACAGGAAATTTCCATGACTGTGAAAACTAGGCTTTGAACCGTATATTTGAGCTTGAATCTGGTATCATTCTTTTCTTGTACACAAGCCAGCGCATGTATGTAGGTATTTATTTTGTTTTTGCGCCTATATACACAACCACCCTATTCTCACATTGTTCTTTCATGCTTAGCAGAGTGACCCAACAAAACCAGCTCTGCGCAAGACTTAGCATTACCATTGCTTTGGCAATTAGAATCTACTAGTCTTAACTTGTCTCTCTTCTCTCCTACTCGTCGACTTGCCAGGCCAACGACGATCTCCGGCCCCCGGCTCCGTACAGCTTCACGTACGGCAGCTCGGACAAGCACGGCTCGCACGGCCGCGAGGAAAGCCGGGACGAGCACGGCACCGTGCGCGGCTCGTACCGCATCGCCCTCGCTGACGGCCGCATGCGCGTCGTCAAGTACGTCGCCGACAAGGACGGCTTCCGAGCTGGCATCTCGACGAACGAGCAGGGCACCGAGTCGGCCAGTTCGTCGGGCGTGGTCATCAACTCGCAGGCCCTGCCCGGTGCGGATGCTGCCAGGGCGGCGCACAGGTCCATGACTCGGGCAGGAGGTTCGAGGCACTCCGCTCCGACGCGCGCAGCCGCGGCTGCGGCGTCTTCGAACGTGGAGCAGTGGGTGCCGGCGCCGTCGCGCTTGAGGGCGCCCTCCTACCTGCCCGCAGAAAGGGGCGAGGTCGTCTATTACGAGTCATAACGTGGGAAGTATATGTGATCAGGGCACACAGTTAATGTAGAGAGTTTCACGGCAGAGGCCGCCCCGTCTTGTAGCCTACGGAATCTCTCGCGTTCCATTGTATTATTTCTGCGCGAGAGGCGCCCGGAAGAACGCAAGGACGCGGGGATTCTACAGCCACAGTTCCCCGGTGCCAAAGCCTTCTCAACTCTGCCCAAGGCGCTATTTGTGTCAAATGTTCAATGTAACCACTGCGCAGCCAATTTTTGACGACATGGTATATGAAAGGTCTCGGCGTAAAGATCGAAGTCGCTTATTTCTGCTGGATTCTTTATTAAGCTTCTTTTATTTCTAGTCCATTCCGTGGCATTTGTACAACGCGCGAAAGCGGAATGATTCAGGTGAAATAGTCGTTCTTTCTGGAACGCACGTCGTGAAGGCTTTGCGCGTAAGGCTTTGCGCTTGCTGAGTTCCAAGGCGCGGGCGATCACAACGTACGCATTTTCAGTGGAGGCGAAACGCAATATTACCGCGTGCTTAGATAGGTGCATGTGTAAGAACCCTGTGGGGTCGAAATTTATCCAGAAACCCCCAGAACAACGGGCCTCGTGATAATAGAGAGTCTTAGTTCTGCGGAATGGTGCTACGTGCGCATCACGCAAGCGCCTTGCGTTACGTGGCGTCGTTTCCCACTAATCGGCTTTTAGTACGCCGTCGTACCCGCGTACGTAACGAGCGTGAAGCGTGTTGCGTCATCTGGTAAATCAAAATACAAGCACGTGTTGTTGACAGCCAATGTGAGCCAATCCAAGTGTTATAGCCAGATTATGGCCATATTTTAAGCCACAGAGCCGGTCGGTGCTTGCCTTCGATGCCGCCATTTTGCAAAACGAAGTCTCGCGCTGTCGCGAACTTGTTCGAGAGCGGCGCGATCAGCTCATACGTACGCACGCACGCATCTCATGCGTGCGTACGTAGCGGCTGCGTACGTAACGCGATACGTGCGCGTCGTGGTCTGCGCATGCGCACTACGCAGAGCGTGGCGTCCTTACGTACGCAACGCCGCCACGTACGCAGCGTAGGCAGTACTAAAACTCTCTAATATCGTGAATTTAGGGCGCGCAAAAAGTTAGTAATTTCAATCCCAGCGAAGCCGCATAATCGAAATATCTTTCTTGTTAGTAAGCGTAGCCACTATTACACAGAACACACAACACAAGCGCTTGTGTTGTGTGTTCTGTGTAATAGTAGCTGCGCTTCCTACCAAGTTGGATTCATACCAACTGGCCCGATACAATTGTTTATCAAAATATCTTGTTGGGCTACTTGGTTCATGCTTGACCAAAATATTTACGGTGCAAACAAATGTAAAATAAAAGCGTAGAGATATAAAATAGTGTCAAAACAGGCTCTTTCACTTCTTATTGTCTTTCAGGTTACACTCTAAGAAACTTGAATGGACTCTCATTTCATACGTGTACAAGTCACACATCTAGCACATCTCTTAAAGGGGCAAGTTGACTTTCTTTAAGAGAGTCCTGGGACGCGCGACTCTCCGAAAAGGGGGGCGTGGCATTGCATGATAACGTTCCTCTTTGAAGGGAGTGCTCCACATGTGACTCACCTGCAGTGTGTAAAAGTAGTCAAAGGACACGTGATTTGCCAGAGAGTTGTTTGCGCCGTAAACATTTGGTTGCATCAATCAAATACACTTTTCATCGCTTTATTCTTACCTTTCAGGGTTTTTTTTCGCTTCAGCAAAGAATTGTAGGGATTATCTTAGACTTGAGAGCTGTGTCTTCGCTAGTGGGCCTTCCCTCCTTCTGCCTCAACCACAGGCATTTCGTAATTTACGTGCCAGGATGCAACGTTATGCATGGATGCGTAGAGATGCACGCAGCTCTGCATGCTGCCATTGACTTTCCAAAGAGAGTCCAAAGACTTCTAAAAGAGAGTCAATGTGCCTCTCTGAAGGGAGTGCTGCAGAATTGACGCTCACGTATCTGTTTGTTAATGGGTAGTTTGTGTCGTAAGCATTTGGTTGCATCATTTGAGTACAGCATCGTTCATTACCGTGTTCTTGTCTTTGCCGGTTTATTATTTTGGGGTCAGCAAGGCTGGTAGTGATAACGGCTATTTGATGAGGCTTGAGTGCTGTGCCCATACTAGTGCGCCTTCATTTTGTCTCAATGTCTGGCCTTTTATATTCTGCAGGGCGGCATCCATTGTATAAGCATCTGATCGTGCCAGCGTTTTAACGAGCCCAGAAAGTTGTGAACTTGAGCAAGTGAGCTCTCCATTACCGTGTTATTTTAGCTTGCTTCAGTGTGCTACAGGCGTTTTTTTTTAGCTGCTCATTGTTTACTTTGGGTAACCCTTTTTCTTTTAAGCTGCAGAATATACAGAAACGGAGTAGCTTAGGTAATATGAAGATGAACTTCTCCGCAGCAAGGCAGTACAAAAAACAAAATAGAACAACATTATAGCTGTCATTTTGGTAGCTTTGAATTAGTTGTGGACATTTAAGATGGTATCTTACCTGAAGCGTGTATCAATTCCTATGTGACGTTGGAATGTCGCAGACAGGTAGCAGACACTATACTCATTCTGTAACTTATGATCACTGAGATTTCCCCGATTTTGTAATATTCTGCGTATGTGTTGGCAAAACAGTCAATCAACTGGCGCTAAACATAAAACATGAATCGACCTGCTAAACATAAATTGTTTAGCAGGTCGCACCAATCTGACCTGTGCCTACTGTTCCGAGAATAGCGTGCACATGATCATTGACGTGAGAAATCCCGAAGCAGTTTGCAGCCTAATTTCCGACGCAGGGAATTTCTGATAACCGTGATGACATTTCGTCGATTACAGTTCACTAACTTATTAGCGTTAAAAAGTGTGTGACCCAAGCCCACAATATGAAACTTTGGATTATTTTCCCAGTGAGTTCTTATGATCACACACTGTTCGCCATATTGCTTACCTGAACTTACTACTGACTAGGGCAGTGTAAAAACTATTATATGATACAAAGTTAGTGCATCCTTCTATTCAAACTAGTTTGAATTTGATGACTAGAGAATTGGGAGAGTATGAGATGGTGCAAAAACAAAGCTTTCTTTTCACAAACAAAATTTTCCTGTGATTGTGAAATTTAGATGTTTTAAATATAGACCTTTTATGACGGAAATTCAGCAAGCATAAGTCTTATATAACTTATATACATAATGATATATCATCATGTGCGACCCTGTTCAAAAACAGATGTTATGTAAGCACGCCCATGAATTTTTATGAGACTAGAGTACAGGGCGTGCCAATTTTCATGGCATTATTCAGCTTGCGTGTTTCATGACGACATAGCTTGCAGAATACGAGATGTTTTCTGTAGCATACAAAAGCTCGCAAGAACATTTTTAACTGCATAAAAATAGCTTCCTTTGCTTGGGAACATGAGATAGCTTGTCGCCATATTAGGACATTGACAGGCCTATGCACCACTGAGCTGTAAATGTGCTTATGTTTTATCTAACGCAGGCTTGTTGCAGGTTGCATAAAATTTTTCTGCTGCTATAGACAACACTGTGTAATTAACACTTGAGCCATGCAAGATACTTTGCTAACGCGAAAAAAAAAAAGAAGGCAGTGTACATGCTTGGCGATTACAAACAGGGTTGTTATAAGGATGTGGCCTTCACGTTGTCAGAAATACTTGCTTGGAACTGATGTTGGCGTTGATTGGTCAGCAAGTGTTACAATAAACGATTGTTCTGAATGATTTGTCTGTGGGGGCTGAATGTTTGCGTGATATACACAAACACATAACATACATGTTTTAGATTAGTTATTCCAGACGGTACTGTTTTCGTGGCACCACTGGGCAAAGAGCCTCGTTCAAAATAAACAAACCGTTTACGTTGAATAAGTTTGTTGGAATTTAAAAAAAATATTTCCGGCTTGTTGGTTCAAGTTTGTCAAAATGAATACTGATGCAACCCTTCACACAGAGCTGCACAAAACAGGACTGAGGGGAATAATGGTTTGAGCACTCTTCTGAGTTCATCTTGATGTTGACTTTCTTTGTTATGTCATCATTGCTAATTTGATATCCAAGGTAATCGAGCGATATTTTTCCCCAGTCGTAAGCTTTGTATTTCATCGCATTAATATTGCTGCAGATATGAAGTAGGTTAAAAAAAATCACATATCTAACAGGTTGGGCAACGTGAAAATGCGCTGACAGGCGCTGTTTAAAATACAAATAAAGCTTTTTTTGTGAGACAAACTACTCTTGTGCGCACATAGCCAAGCCGGGCCTACTCGTATGCGATACCAAATGCTAATCTGTCCTGAAAGGGATGTCTGATGCGCAGCCACACCAGTAATGTGTCGCTGTGGCGTAGTCCAGTAGAACTCGTTAACATAGGATTTCTGTAGTTACCATGATTTTGTAACACAAAAGTGTTTTATGCCGGCGTCCACGACGGCTCCGCTGACGTATTTCCGTCACGGATATGACGCAGTAAAAATGTACCAAGATACTACAAAAAAGAAAACAAAAAGAAACGAAGAAGACAAGTTATGTTGTGGGACGTCGAACCGGTGGCCTCTCACTTTACAGCGCGACACAAACCACCATGCCACAGAGCGTACATTGTCAAGCTTGATAACAGCAAGCCGTCTATACACACCGTATGCCGTTGGCTGTCCTCAGAGCTTCTCGACTACACCGTCTTTTCGCCTTCAGTGGCGAGATGGCGCAACGGCCCTGCGTTTCTTTGAACGCACGTCTTCCAGGGACGTGGTCTCTCGGACTGCGCGCTTGGCTTGTCAGTCTGACTCGTGATTCAAAAGAGCACGACGATCACTTCGCTTGGTGACGCGGGTGCGTTTACGCAAAGAGCTCGCTGCTCGCTTATGATGAAGTAAGAATCGTGGCAGTTGTTCGTGCTCGTCTAGAATATACTTGTGCGTGCGTTTCGTGCGTCTTTCATTCCGTTTGAGCAGCGTGGTTTAGGTGCCGAGCTGAGACATTGTTTTTCCACGCTCGTGATGTGTTTGCTCCCTTAGTGCGTGCTTTTCTGCATGAGGTGCGCACTGTAAGTTTACTGTGTAAGCGCACTGCAAGCTGCTTGCTGTTCTTCGCATGAAATTGCAATTTGTCGCTGTGGCATACATTTCTTCACCCTTGGGGCGAAACGAGGCAAAATAAACGCTCAACTACATCGGTGAAGACACGTTTCAACTTTGTGTTATACCGATTCCTCAAAAGGAGGGATCAGCCATTTCTTTTTTTAAATTAGTTGTAGATGCATTTACTCGCCGATTATTTCAGTTGGCACAACTCAGTGTGTCGCAGTGATGGAAAGGGTGGCAGCCCTGAAAGGTCAGTCATGCCGCAAGGGCGCGTCCTACACTCGCTTCGACTTGCCATGTCTCCCTGGCCTTCGTGTTCACAGCCAGTTGTCGTTATTGAAAGCTTGCCAGGTCGTCGATGGTGCGATTCGGCAGCCGCAAAGCTACTAAAACGCCATTGTATCCATTCGTGTCGTTGTCTGTTAAGGCGAAAACCACAGATGCATCATCAAACTCGAAAAGTGACAGTAGGCGTCAACACTAGGCTTGCGAAAAAAAAAAACGTCATGTGATAACATCACCTTATGACCTTGTCATGACGTCACAAATCCCCAACGTCTAGGATGCCATTGTGATAGTTTTGGGGGGGGGGGGTCAATAATAATTTATGTAAGTTGGTACGCACAATTGCATAGGTGCGGAATATATAAATATATATATATATATATATATATATATATATATATATATATATATATATATATATATATATATATATATATATATATATATATATATATATATATATATATATATATATATATATATGTATATACATACGCAAGTAAAATTGAAAAATGGGTTCGAAACCTGATGAAACCCCCCGTGACTACGTCCCTGGGCGTCATCACGTGACACCGTTGCTTCGTCAAAGATAGGCTGATCTCAAAGGCACTGCACAAACATGCGAGGTGCCATAGAGTTTCATACAATAAGACCTAGAGGGGAATCTGGCGCTTGCTGTCTACGCGGGCTCCTTCAGCGGTGCTTGTACCCCCATTGGAATTATGGGAAGTACAGGCTTCGGATCTCCTTCCGATGCATCATGTTCTTGAGAATCGCAACGCTTGTTTGCTGAGTGTAAAACAAAGTGATATGAAGTTATGTTTAATTGAAACTTGCTTGAATTTTTCGTACGCAAACTTTATTGCAAAAGGTTTTTGTGACTAGGCGGTAGAAGCGAAACGTGGACAAATTTAACCACCAGGGTATGCATTGCTTGGCCATTGTGTTCAAGATTTATCATTAACATGTAATGAATTTCTTTCAAAATGTTTCAAAACAAACATTCTTGTTTTGCCCTCAAAAACACGCAATATCTATTTATGGAAATAACAGCTTAGTATTAAGTGACAAACACTGAACGTTTCGTCTGCTGCGATACCAGGTGCGTCTGTTCAAGTGGTCTGCCCCCAATGCACCTCTCGTTTTGTTGTGAAGTCGAGTTAGAAGAGCGTGGCGGTGCGTCTACTTCGCGTCACCGTCGCTTTGCAGTTGACTTCAACGAGTTTTGGCAGGACCCACTAACAAGAAACGGGAACTCGATGTAATTTCTTGCATTTGCATGGGACGCTACATCTATGCGCAGCGGTGAGTCGGCGACGCTTCGCTTAAACTGTCAAACACGACTTACACAGCTCAAGCGTTGCAGTAAATTGAGAGGCATGGCAGTTTTCAGCTTCTTTGAACAAGGAAGGCGCAGCTTCAGTCCTTTGCAGCCGCCCCACTACCTACTCTACGCGAAGAACGAAACTGAAACTGTAGGTAAATATTCGTAGACAGTTCACTGGCTAACGCGACCTTATTCGAATCCTGTACTTTCCTTAATTACCATGAGGCTACACGAATGCAGCACCAGATTCCTCTCTAGGCATTATTGTATGAAACTCTATGCGAGGTGCCACGAGCTTCTAACGCCCCCGGTCTCGGAGGCAGAGAAAAAGTACGTTGGGTGCAGAAAGATTTTGGAAAGCGGTGGGTGGCGGAGGGGAGAGAAAACACAGGCGACAAAAGAGAGATGTCTTTCACCCCTGAGTCGTCTTAAGCAAATGCGTTAGAAATGATGCTGCTTCAGTGATAAGAGCAAGGGCTCAGCTGTCGTTGTCGCGTACCACGTTTTCCAAGCCTTGGCCGGTTCCGGCACTGGGCTCGCGAACCCTCACTCGAAAACAAATGATGTCACAAAGCGTGCACTAACCTTCGCGCTGGCACACGGGCAATAGGGGCGTTGATCCGTTTCGTAGATATGGCGTTCGAAAATGCTTTCCCGGAATGGGTAAACATTCACGTGCATTACATTAAACATGCGCATTATCTTTATCGGCGCGTAAATCTTATTTATTTACCTAACACCCCAGCTTCCCGAATCGAAAAAATACATTGTATTACGTCGCGATCTTTCGGAGTAGCTCTTTTTTCTTTCCTGTTTTTTTTTCGTTCTGGTTTGCGTTTTTTTTTTAACTGAATATCCTTCCCCGCAGGCAGGGCTTAGATTCCCCAGAGGGCGAGCTCCTTCTCACGACGCATTTTACTCATTTCAACACCAAACCTCTTCGGAGGGGTGAATTGTATTCGGACAGGCATGCAGAGAGGGAGAGAGATCGCGCAAGCGTTCAACATGACTGCCAAAGCGCCTACCGCAAGCACAAAAAAAAATACGAGAAAGCGACGGAGAGGCATAACGCACTCTGGAAAGGTATCGTGTTCTAGAGGACGTTTTCTTTCTTTCGAGCCATTCCCGTACACGCCGCGCCCGAAACAAAGCGTCAAAGTAAAATGAGCAGAAAAAGAAGAAGAAACGGATGAGAGAAGACAAAGAGAACACACAAAGCGATGGATCGGGAACTGCGAGGTTGCGTTTTTTTTTTTTCGTAGTGCCGCCGAGATGATAATCGCTTATACAGACAGCGGTGGGGATGTTCATACGGGCGGTGGACTTCAGGTATACAGGTGAGGGTGGTTAGAGATACCGATACCCAGTCGTTGTTGCTTGAGGGTCACCGGGCGTTTGTCAGTTCGCCCGGAATCTTCGCTTACCGTCATGGCGCTGTACTTCATGCCGTCCTTTCTTCTTTATCTCGAAAGAATACGTACGCCCTCACCACAAAGGCGAAAAAGCCGGGTGGGTAACAGCGTCCCCCCCGGGGTGGGGTGGGGGGGAGAAAAGCAATCGCAGTAAGATGCGACAAAGAGATTGTTGTTCTTCTTTCGCTCGATAGCGCTTCTCCGCTTGAGAAATTAACCGAATTCGACAAAAGGGGGGTGGATGGGGGGATATATATGCAAATTTGGGAATCCAAAGACAATAATCTTACTGGGTCGAGACGGCTGCCATTGGAGCCCGGAGCCGAATAGTGGGAGGGGCCTCTTCGAGATGGGGAGATTGGCCTATATAAGCGAAACACCGGCGCTACGACAAGATCGTGCAGAGGTGTCTCCTTCTTCTGTCCCTTTAGCTTCTCTGTTCTTCTGCGCGGGAATTGCCTTCTGAGGCGCGGCGAGCCAAGGAAAAACAAATCATGTACAAGGTGAGAGCATGGCGGCAACTAACGAACGAAGAGCTACCTAGTTGTACACGTGGCGGCAACCTTCCTTTTTTTTTTCTCCGAGGCAACATGGACTTACCAGCACGCAGCGTAGTTGCATAATTAAGATGGTTATGGGCTGCCTCATCGAGAGGGTGCGTGTGAGGGTAAACCTTACTGAGGCGTGCGGGGCAACTTTAATTATTCCAACAACTTTACCTGCTTTTCCCCGACTTTCTAACGTAGGAACTGTGTACAACGTTTAGAAGGGTCCGTAGTTCATCTGCCCGCATAGACTAAGGCCGGCACATTTAGGTCTGCTTACTAGTGAGCAACAATTTAAATGTGTGTTTATGCGTCACAACCATTTCGCTTAATACCGTAAGTTTCTAGTGGCTAAGGTACTCGGATGCTGACCCGCAGGTCGCGGGTTCAAATACCGGCTGCGGCGGCTGCATTTCCGATGGAGGCGGAAATGTTGTAGGCCCGTGTGCTCAGATATGAGTGCACGTTAAAGAACCCCAGGTGGTCGAAATTTCCGGAGCCCTCCACTACGGCGTCTCTCATAATCAAATAGTGGTTTTGGGACGTTAAACCCCACATATCAATCAATTAATACCGTAAGTTGTAAGACAGCAGTCTCTGTTATTTATTTAACGCGTGTATAATAGCTTAATAAAGTTGGAATTAACACGCTGGGGATCGCTGTCAGACTAGGTCAAAGTTAAAGACTAGTAGCTCCAGCGAAGTGGCACTTCAGAAGTTACTCTTGACATCGTAGGTTACGATAGCTACTCCAGTCGCGTACTTAGCTTGCTAACGAATAGATATATCGTCTCTACTACATTCGTGGATATAAAGGCAACATTAACCTGCGCCGAAGAGGTGGTCCTAATACACATACAGTCAAGCCCTTTTTTTTTTCTTGTTTTGCATGCATGTGTCTGCCATCGATCGTCATAAACTCAGCCGCGCCTAGCATGCGTGCTGCCTCTCTGAATACCTGTCACTTGGATTGCCACATTGGTGCCAAAATGAGCGCTTGTTCCCTATACGTGAATCGCTGGGCAGTTCATCTCAAGGACGAAAAAACATGAGTTACACTGCATGTATCATACCTGCAAATTCTACATATTCTCGAAACAGCGCGCATGGGTGCCTGTTTCATATGTAGCCTCCTGTCAATGCTACTAGATTGGACAGAGGGACAAATTCAAAACGAGAATAACGTATAGAGTTACTCAAAAACTAAAGAGAAACTGGTTGAACTGGAAATGGTTGAAAGAGAAACTAACTGTACCCTTTCTTCCACATTTTCCTTTCTTTCTGGTTATTTTTTTGCACCGTGTTCCTCCCTTACGGACGAACGGCCACCTTCGTCGACTCATCGCCATTTCGGTCGCACGACGACGACGACTCGTGCCTGCGGACCTGCTGCGTCCTTCAGCACGCCATACTCGCCCTTCTCGTATGCAGCGCCTACCTGGTCCTTGAAACCGTAAGTAATTAAGATTGACCCCGAGCCGACAGGGTGCTTCCTCTTGTCGCGCGACCGTTAACGGCTTCCAACAGAGCTGTCGTGTTCGGCCCAGCTTAGTCGCGTCTAGCGGAAGCTAGCTCCGTGTATGTGACCTGTTCGACTTCATTTCCTGCGTGTTTACTTTCGCAGAATTGCTGATTTCTGGGACATATTCCGATCGCGTTTGGGATAAGTTGGCAACACGTGACGTACGCTGACCTGCTGCTCTCTCTCTCTTCGGGCTAAGCTCGATAAATTGTATCCCAACGACGTGTAGATAGACTACAAGGCGTTTTACGGTCTATTAGGCATTTGTCCCTTTCCTGTGGCCGAAATTTCACCCGTGCCGGTGTCTTCTGAAATTCCAGTCATAGCCGATGGCTCTCGACAGTTCGTTATTTCTTTATATGTTTACCGGAGGATGCTAATCTAAAGTTTAATAAGATTCTGCTGATGAACTCTGTTTTTTTTACTTTATGTGTTTTAAGTTATACGTTACAATTAGCTAAACCAATTGCTAAGTACGTATTGTTATAGCGCTTTCATTTTGTTCTTCATATTGAGGAAAGCGATAGCCAATCAATGTAGTTATCATGGCTGTGTGTTCTTTTAGCTTTGTTTTTCTGGCAACTATTCATTTCAGAAATGGTCACTGGCAAGTTTTAACTCCTCCCGGCAGCAAACCATTCGCTATTGTTTGGTGTTCACTCTTCTTCCTTCTAATAACGCGCCATTTTTATTGTTTATCAGCTGATAACAACGTGCGAACTTTGTTCATTAAATAATTACCCGAAAACGAAAGTATGAACTTGTAAGTTATGTTAACTTTCACTTAGTGCTACAAGCTCCTTCCGTGATCGGCCGCCTGTGAAGGGCTCGCGGCCGATGCCAACCAAGGCCTAGATTAAGGCCAGCCCCGAATAAACTTCATTTGACTTTAACTAATGTTGCTGCATCACCATTACATATTCACGCTGCCATTAGCGTATTGGTATCACGTCATATTAGTTGATGGTACCGGTTCGTTACCTACCTACTGCGGCGTGCTTTTCCAGAGTGGCCAGGCGTTCCTGGCTGCGCCCGTGGATCCGCCCCAGCCGTACTCCTTCGGCTACGTCTCCAACGACATCGAGGGTAGCCACGGTCACGAGGAGACCGGCGACGGTACTGGCCGCGTGTCCGGCCGTTACTCCCTGAGCCTCGCCGACGGCCGTACCCGTGTGGTCACCTACGTCGCCGACGAGTTCGGCTACAGGGCCGACGTCGTGACCAACGAGCCCGGCACCGAGTCCAGGCCAGCCGCCGACACCACGTTCACGTCGAGCGCTCTTCCCGGACCCGACGCCGCCGCCGCCTACGAGTCCACGAGGCTAGGCGGTGTCGTCCTCGGCAGCCGTGCTTAAGCAATGACAGCTGAAGGAGACGTGCTCTCGAAGTCAAAAACAAAAGCACACAACACCTTACAAACAAGAGCCCGTTCTGATGAGACAGGTAGCCAAGTTCGGGGTGATTCGTTTAACTTGAGGCTATTTCGGTTGTGACGAACTGTGACTAACCGCTTCTACAGGAAGGCAGTCCAGTGAGTAACAATGATTTAGTCTATGCTAAGTCACTGTGGTCAGTCTTAACAGACCCATCAGAGTGGATCTGTTAGAATGCGGTAACCTTACGGAGGAGTATTTCAAGCGCAATGCCCGCGAACTTGGCTTCACCGCGAAGCTTCCTTGCCTCTCGACACGTCTCTGTACACTGTTTCCGTTTCCGGGTCACAACCGCTTCGATGCCTGTGAGGACTGAATCGTGTTCGCATGTAAGGTAAATACTCACACCTCGCTCGCCTCGCAGTCGTTCAGTCTTCTTTCCACTTTTCGTGTTCATCTTTTCTTGTCCTTGTCGTTAGTCTAACCCGCATTGCTTGCTGTCTTACTTCAATGCTACAACTGTCCGCGTCTCGTGTTCCACGTTATCCACTTGCCTTCATTAAGCCGCGTAAACGCCAACGTTAGCCTACTGTTTTGTGCTCGTAATGCAAGTACGTAGAAAAAGTGTCCTTGCTTTGCTGTTTCGCTTCGTTTTTATTTATTGCGACAAAGACTTGCCTTTGTCCCATAATATTCGCCACTTGTCCAGCCATGTGCCTCATTCTTGAGGACCTTCTCCCGCGTCCCTTTCTTTTTTTCGAAGCTATTAGCTCTCTGTTTCCATTTAACCTGCTTTGTCCTTTGTCCTGAAATGGAAGCGACGCGTCCTGTGTCTCAATTGGCTTGCGATACAATGACGTCAGAGAAACAAACAGTACATCTACACAAACAGTACATTTCAAGTAATCATACCAGGGCCGGCACAGAATAACTTTTCGATGTTTTCGAGGTGCGCATCGCTACGTCTAGCCTTAAATCTAGCTTACTCAGTTCACTTACACAACGACACACAAGCTGCTCAGGAAGGAAAATGTTGCTTTTTCTTTTTTTGTTGTTAACAGCCATGCCTTGTTCTAATAACCCAACGACCAACAAACAACAAATACACCCGGTATTTTCTATTCAGGTTACATAACAGGTCACAAGTTGTGGTAACACGCAATTTCAGACGAATATAAACGAATATAACACTGTTCTTTACACTTAGCATCGCTTAGCTTCCATATCGGTGTCATCGCGGTGAGCCGATTGTTTACTCGGAGAAGCTCCTCCCAAGTCAATCTCTTATTCGTGGCCAAGTGTTCGCGTCAGCCGGGCTCGTGTTGCAATCTACGTGAAATGGTTTCCTCTGTCGTGCTTCGCATCTTGAAAACTTCTCTGACGGATTACGTGGAGGACATTTCGCCGACCTGGACTGATTTCTCGCCACGCGATCTGCCCTCCACACGCTGCCTTGCCCATTTCAGCGTTTTAGTTGCGAGTTTTTTTTGGATTTTTTAAAACGAGTTCCATTGTTTGTTGTTTCGGAACAATGTTATGTTCTACGGCTAGTCGAAACGAGTCTCTGTCAAGTACTTCTAGTGAAGCAAAATATCGACTGCATTACGCAATGGTTACTCCAGAGAGCATGTACTGTGAGTGAGCCAGGTGGCAGTAACGACGAGCTCTCTGACCGTGGTTTTAGATGTTGGTTGTCGATTATTTCAATAAAACGCATTCGGATATTGTGTTCATCATAGAACGCTGCCTGTTGTGCGTTGTAGCCACCTGCGGGGACGGGGTAGGATCTCGAATTTAGTAGTAGTATTAGTGTCGGTGCCAAGCCAACAGACTATAAGTGACTTCAGTGTGCGAACGAAAGGCAACAATAATGAATTGGCGCTTCCCAGTTTTACTCACGTGACATACTTTTGCCTGTAACAACGGCGGAATTTCGAAAATCGAAAATAAACTACCTTACTCTCTCCCACCTTTTGTCTGCGTATCTACCCGAAAAGGGGCCTATTTCAGAGCAATAAAAAGATGTGACGGTGTTTAAGCAATGTGTTTGGCCAGCAACATTGCGGTGAGATATATGCAAGCACTTTCGTACGCTGAACTCTGGTATACCTGAAAGCGTTGAAACTGACCGTATTCATTGCGAAAACACCTGCAGTACTACGCCGGGTAACGAGAGCGGCAGCTCTGGTAACGTCATAGATTGCTGATGTGCAACTCATTGGCGCACCAGTCATCTCAAGCCTGATCAAAGGGCTAGTGGTATCGTATTTTGTTGTAAGGCTAGTGCGCTGCTGTTTATCGCTGATTGAAGCGGAGCAGTTGACAAATACCCAGCTAACTTGCGACCGTTGTCCGTTTCTGAACATCACCCTTACTATTTTTCTTGCTTTTGCAAGACGGAAGAAAGGTCACCTGCCTTGGCTTTTGGCTTGGCAGGCTTTGATACCGCAGTGTTTCCAGAGACGTAGTAATAGTATCTGAGGTTTAACGTCTCAGCACCACTATATGATTATAAGGGACACTGTAATAAGGGGCTCCGGAAATTTCGACCATTTGGTGTTCTCTAACGTTCATCAACATCGCGCACTACTCGGGCCTCTACCTTTCAACTTCCATCGAAATGTAGCCGCCGCGACCAGGGTATAGAGGAAGAAAGGAAAGGCAAGGGCGACCAGTTTGGCATAACCGGTATGCTACCCTGCACAGTAGAAGGGGAAAGGAGAGACTGAAAGTAGGGTATAAAAAGAGAGGGTAAGCGCGCACACACACGCGTGATCGCGCTGAGCGGCAGTCTTGCGCGGTATATGGCATCATTGAGAGTCTACAGCCGCTCGTGCAAGTCCGTTGTCCTTAGGAAATTGAGCAATGTCTTTGTTGCTTGAACTTTTGATTGCTTTTCAGGGGGGTATTCGGGATGTTAAGAAAGACGAACGGACTTCACTTGATCGTTGTCTTCTGACTCGGCGCAAATTTGACATTGTTGGTTTGAATAGTTCAGTGTAATACGTGGTGCATCTTCGCATTGCAGTATCGATCGTCCCGTAACTGACAATCAGCTAGAAAGTGTTAGTAGTTCACATTACCAAAATGCATCATTTTATTGTTCTGTGTGCATTGAACATACTACTGCAAAGATTGCGGTTACTAAGCAGTAAGAAGACTGTGCCAACAGCCTTGGAGATAACATTCAGAAATGCCGATGCCTTGCTTGGCGAGGTGAATCTATGACGCTTTATATACTTTGACTGTGTAATAGTCGCTGCGAGCAGTACTGCATCGGCAATTTCAGTTTGCTTGCTTAGAGCTCTGGACACGTCACCTGACCTAGAAATAAAAGGTATAATAAGTTCCATAACTTAGTAAGATACTCAGGTGCCTTCCAGCTGACGCCTGACCTTTGCTTTTACGCTTACTTCGAAGTCTTACTTCGATGTCGCGTGTGCAAGAAACGGGCCATGTAGAAGGTAACTTTGGAACTACTTGATGGTTCTTCCCTGCCCTTTCGACATTGACCGTTGTCGCGCTTAGAATAGCAAATTGGTAATCTTGAATACGCATGACTTTTTCGTGATGTCCAAGCGCTTCTCTCTTGGCATGCTGCTTCAAACTAAAGCGTTAGAGCGAAACACCTTCTAAAATAGCGAAGAGCTCTCACGCGAGTTCCGGAGCAAGAATGGGGAAAATGCTTACAAGGTTACGTAACACGAACCGCGCAAGGCCACCTTGTAGCCCTGAAGGACGCCACTGGAGAAACGGACAAAAGTGAAGGCAGAAACTACCTAATAAGGATTCATTACACGCATTTAGTATGACCGACGAGACCCCTTCGAGTGCTTGATGCCATGAATTTCAAGGAAGCCGTAGAACGTGTGAAACGCTAGGGCCTGTGACGACTGTTCTTTCCTAGTTGAAGAGTTGAATGTAGTACTGAAAGTTCTAGAGAAGTACTTCGTCGTTCTTAGTGAACGTTAACCGTTCGACGTAAGTTTGTTTAAGAACAGAAACCACCGGTGAAATTTCGCAGCTGAAAGGAAGCCAAAAAACGGCTTGTTGGCTGAAGTACGATATACAAATGATGACCCAATGGCATAGCGAAGGAGACGGAGGTTCAGATTCCCCCCCTCTTTTTACAGTTTGTATGTGCAATTTTGTGATTTTTACAATGTAATAAAATGTTTAATTGCAATATAAAAAAACATTTTCTTTATTCCTACTCTTAGTGATGTCGTCCTTTTTCCCTTTATTCTTGATTTAACGCAGTCTGCATGTCATCCCGAGAATGGTTCGCATTAAAACAGGAAATCGAAGAAACGCTCTGAATGATGCCGTTTATGTGCAGTTTTCTATGGCGCAAGAGCCATTTGATTGTCAAAAAGCGCCGGGCCACCAACCGTTCTGAATCTCTAATAGATTTCTAGGTTTATTTAGAGTTGATGTGCATAAGGCAACAAGAAAAAATCCGACACTGCTGACCTGCATTTAAGCAACTCTCATGCTTGCCACAGACTTGTGAATTGATGTAGTTGCACATTTATTAAGGAAACCTTTTTTCTGCTATAATTCGCGATATTCTCCGGCTTCGTCAATTATTCACAAATAAATGTGCTTCTTGAGGACCACCGGACCGTTTGTGAACGAGCAACGCGAGACCATGTTTCGTAGTTTAAAGTTGACTGTTTATCAATCACTTTCTTACTCAAGGAGTGCCTAGCGGTATACGCTGTTGGAGCATCTCTTGCTTTTTTTGCGCCATAACATGTGCACTTCATGAAATCTGCTGCTGCGTTCATCAGCGATCTACAAGGACCACTTCGAATACCTGCCAGGTCCTGCGGTGTCCGCGGCAGCCTTGTCCAGGAAGCGGATGGGCCCTCACTGCGACAGCGAGGGCACTGATGTCTACTCACTGACAAGTGAGGGGTCATCTGACGATGACTTCGAACTTGTAATGAGCCGAGAGACGAAGCGATGAAACAACAGGACCTTCTTATTCCCGCACACACGGAATTAACGATCGCCGCAAGGGCCAGAGGCCAACACCATCATTTTTGTTCCTACTGAGCCAAACATAATTTTTGTTCTTACTGAGCCATACATCATTTTTGTTCCTACTGAGCCAAGCATCATTTTTGTTCCTACTGAGCCAAGAAGCGCCTCACCAGGCAATCTGTTTTGGTACAGCTCGAGGAGCTGGCGCCAGATGAAACCGACGACATAAGAGTGAACCCGTTTAAAAACGTCATGACGATTGATGTTTCGCATGCTGCCGCACTAAACGCGTTAGGCAACGTCACAAAGGTGGGTGGCATCAACGTCCGATCCTGCATACCGATGGACTCCCATGTCGTCACTGGTGTCATCTACGACGTCGACGCTGCCATTCCCTGCAGCTCCGACTTGAGTGGCCTAGTAAAGCCAGCTAATGAAGCTAGTGTCATCGTCAAGGTTGTTCGTTTGGGTTACCTCACGCTGCGTAAAAATAGATATTAGAGGCAACTCTCTGCCTTCGCACGTAAATGCGGGGCTACTTCCGACACTCTGTAAGATTGTTTTGGCAAAAACCGCTTCAATGTCTCAACTGCATAAAGCTCGGTCAAGCGAGTATGTTTTCGCTGCGCTCAAATCCATTTCGCGGACAGTTGTAAAGTCAGAGCTCTCAAGTGTTTCTAATTACAATAGGTCCACGAAGCTTTTTCAAAAGCTTGCCGAAAAAATAAAAAAAAAGATAACTGTATTGAAGCAAATGCGCGAGACCATACATCGCATCGGGAGGCAGCCGCAACTGTCAGAAAATGACGCCGTTGGCGCCGAAGTTCGTCTGAAAAATCTGGTGCCGCTGCATCCGCAGCACCCATTCGACACCCTGCTTCACCATCTCTTTCTCGACCCAGATTTTACTCGGCTGGCATGAAGCGGAATGCAATGAAAAACGTGGCTTCTGCGTATTGCACTTATCCTACAGTGCTAGAGCCCCAGCAACACGGATCAGTGACGGTCGGTACCAACAAGACCCACTGACGCAGTTTGGGCCCCGCCCGTTGCCGAAGTCGCAGCGACATGAGGATTCACAGCGCACCTCGGCATTGCCAGAAGAAGACAAACCTATCCTAATAGTTCTTCAATCATTATTAGACATACTTCGAGTCTTTGTAAGCAGGCTGAAAGCATCACACGCACTGAGGCTAACAACAGGTACCGGACATTCTACATCCAGTGCTTGCAAGTCTTCAGTAGGCACTATGAACCGACAATCTACAGTGGAACGTGATACACCTGAAGTCCTGCATACACTACTATCGAATGCTGCTGTTTAGTTTATGCTCACGTGTTTATTTTATGTTCTCTTCTTTCTATTTCTCACTTTTCACCCCTCAATCCCCTTCTCCCGGTATACGATAGCAAACCGGATGCTCGCCTGATTGACCTTCTTGCCTTTCCTTCCTCTACCTCATTCCTTCCTTCCTTATTTCTTACTCTACTTCTCTCTTATCTATTCTTTCCTTTCTAGTATCCCCCTTTCCCCCACCGCAAGTGTAGGGTAGCGTAATCAACCAAGCCAAAACTTGATAAACCTAATGGTTTATCAAGTTTTTCAAGTTTTATTAAAACTTGAAAACTTAATGGGGAAGAAACTTATACCGCCGGGTACAGAAGTGAGCACTGGGGTGATATATGATGTTGCCGAAGCCATTACCAACTCGGACCTACCAGTCTTGATTAAGCCAGCTTCAGAAGATGCCACTATTACAAATATATGTCGTATCGGGACATCACGATGCGTAAGAATTACATTTAAGGGCGAATCACTTCCATCACATGTAAAAGTGGGCCACTTCCGACACGCAGTTCGCCCTTTTCTACCGAAACCACTTCAGTGCTGGAAGTGCGTGAAGCTATAGGTCACATAAGTGTTGTGTGCATGAACTATACTATCTGTTCCCGATGCACTGGGCACCACAACAAGGACAC